TCAGCCCAAAGTTTGCCTGTCACTCGTCCAGAACTGGCATCAAATTAGCTCAGAACTTGCCAGAATGCGCTCCAAATTGGCCCAGAATATGCCCCACGTTGGCCGCTCTGCAAAAGTGCAGGAACAAGAACACATAAAACCTATCCAACGAAACACTTGAAACACATACATACACTTGAAACGCATAAATACACATTAGCTACCTACTACTAAACTCTAGAACAATTTAAAGGGATGATTGATGATATTTACAAACATTTACTGATAACATTCAATAATTAAAATTTAGGACTGAGATGCGTGGTTGCAGCAGGTTAGTCAGCAAAAGGCACTAGGTCAAAAAAGCAAATCTGCCTTGGTCAATAACAACCCATGAAGAAGATGACTTGGCACAAAAATTACTTCAACTGGCTTTAGTATTCCACTGATCTGAATCAAACATTCAAACACTGGGGACAAAAAGAGAGGATTAATTGAAAACACTTAATAAATCATTCATTTGCCTAATTGCAGCCCCTAACAATATTGATGGTCATGGAGAGTCGTGAAAAAGTCATGGAATTTTTTTTCTTAATACCAGTACGCACCCTGCAAGTAGATATATTCCATGCCTGATTCTGGGTACCATCAACCGGGGCTACTCAGGACAGATTTGATCCTTTTTTTGTTAATAACTGTTAATAACTTCTTACGATGAAACATTTCATAAACAAATTTAGGCTCATTTTATAGCTCTTTGCATTGTCGAATGGCATTGTCAAAAAAATTCCATATGCCATTCGTAAGGTGCCAGACGCAAAATAAAGATTGTCAAATGTTTTGAAATGAAGTTTTATTCCCATTGTCCCGAGTAGCCCCGACTGATGGTTGCCTGGTGCACAATTCTATACATGACATGCTATGCACAATTTTGTGATGACTGATGATGCACTAATTTTTCGATAAGTGAAATTTTTTTCGCTGAGCAAGAAAAATGTGATCAATATTCTTTGTTTTTAATCAATTTTTTTTTTAATTAGAGCCTTTGCTAACTGAGGTTCTACCGTAAATGCGTTTTTGGGGGTGTCCCGAATAGCCCCGGGGGGGTGTCCCGAGTAGCCCTGCCGTGCGGAAATGGTTGCCAATTCTTTTTGGAATGAGATAGGCAAATTCTGTCAATTACGTTTTCAAGCCAACACCTGGGTGCAACTTTTACGTCAGTAAAATTTTTTAATACGGCGAATATTTTTTTGCTACACACAGTTGTAACTTTACAAAATATAGTTTTTCACCATTTTTTTCAGGAATTTTTCAAAGTAAGTAAATGTAGTATTTTTCAACTTCCTTTATACTACATAGATAGGAAAAATGTTGATGTTTACGCCACTATTTTTAGTTTTGCAATATTCCAATTAGTTTTGCTACTACAACAGTTTTACGCTGTGTTGGAGGCCTGTCCCGAGTAGCCCCACTTGTCCCGAGTAGCCCCGGTTGACGGTATGTAATATATTCCACATTTATATGAGAAAATGGATTAAAACGCTTACCGGTGCCGCATTACACCTTCCACCAGGCATGGAATATATCTACTTTCCAAGCTGTGGTTTTAATTTTGCTGCTGGCAATTTTTCAAGCTGTGGTTTTATGGATTTGCCAGCAGTGATTCCATTGCTTCAAGCCGTGATTCTATTTTTTTGAGCCATGAATTCCATATCTCCACCATGAAAAGCCATTTACAAGTTGCAAATTTATTTACAAAGTCCATGCACATGTTACCCCAAATCTCTAATTTTACTCTAAAACAGTCAAATGGCAACAATAACATTTGTCTTTACTGTAAGCTGAACACGTGTTAATGCAGTCTGATGTGGCCACAACTATGTGTGATCTTCAATGAAACATTAGGTTGACTTGTTTATATTGCGATGATTACATTCTGCAGGATATTTTGGCAAGAATGGCAAAGTAAAGCGGATTGCAGAAGTGGAAAATTTTATGAAATGATTTTTTCAATCAAACAAAACTTTATGACATTTGAGCTGCAAGATTTCATACCTACTGAAATTATATGATATTAGAGCCTCAATATTTTGAAAAAAATAGGACTTTCCAGCCCTGCCTTCTACCAAGTTGGGAAAAGTCCCAATTTTTTTCTGAAATATCATGGCTTTAATATCATATAATTTAAGTAGGTATGAAATCTCATGGCTCTGATGTCATGTATTTTTATTTGATTGAAAAAATTGCAGTTTGCACTTTGCAAACATGCAGTTTCATAAAGTTTTCAACTTCCCCAATCCGCAGTACTTCAATGCTAATGCCAAAATATCCTGCAGAAAGTAATGATAACAAGTCAATGGGCTGTCAACCAGGATGGAATTCTAATTATCAAGGTTCATATATATTATTTTTGACCCACCTCCACCAATTTTTTTATCTAAAAATTTTAGTTAAGATACGTAGATAAGATAGGAGGGATTTAAGATAGGATGGATTGAAGTTACACTTGAAAGAATCAAGAATGAAGGTTACAACTTGCAACACTTTGAGATTTCAATTAGAATGAATATTAATTCATTTGCAATTTGGCTCCAAGTCGAACACAATAAATTAAAATTTATGAATTAATAACAAATCACGCTATCAATAATAGTAGAACATGATGCACCATGAAGCTATTTTGCGGGAACAAAATCTTGTATGCATTCACTCATTAGAAAGCTAACGAGCAACTGTCTCCTTTTACAATTACAGTTAGCAATGCCGAAGCCACTGCCGGAAGTATGACATTGCAACCATAATATTCGGGGCCATCAAACTGAGTAATAAGGGACGGATTTTAGAATTTTTTGTTATTAACTTCTTACTATGAAACATCTCATAAACAAGTTTGAGCTCATTTTAAAGCTCTTTAAAGGGCTATCAAATGGCATCTCCAAAAATTTTTATATGCTATTCGTAAGGTGCCAGATGCAAAATAAAAGCATCCCAAATTAGCCCTGTAATGGGGTAATCCAGGACACTTGAAATAACTCAATTTTAAAAAGTTTGAAGCAAGCATGCAAAGTGAACTTATCATCCATTGCTAACAGTACTCTAAAGTACTCATCTTCCTTAGTAGATGTATAAGTGGAATAAATGACATTTTCTGCGTTTTTTACTTGTTTTTCCAATATTGATATGGTATTATCATATCCACACACTGTTGTATTATTTATGTGATATTACCTTATCCGTGGACCTGCCATTGAGCATTTACAACAACCTTGTCCACTGCAAGCTTCATATCGGTAGCCATATAGTAATTCTGTATCTGTAAGCTTACAGGACGTCTTGTTATTTAACACCATTTTAATTGACTCGAGTGAATTCACTAGTATGACAAAAAAAAGATCATAAAAACATAACTGAAACAGAAAGGAATATTTTAATGACAACCATCATATTTTTTTGAAAAATAAATCATAGTTTAGGCTAATTACTTTTCATTCTACATTGCCCAGTGCACAATTCTATCTATGACATTCTATGCGCAATTTTGTGATGGGCAAGGATGCATTAATTTTTTTTAATTAAATTTGCTTTGCTGCGTGAGGTAAATTTATTCAAAATTTTTTATTGTTTATTGATTTTTTGGTTAACTGGATCCTTTGCTAACTGGGGATCTACTGTGAATGCATTTTTAGGGGTGTCCTTTATTACCTCAGGGGGGTGTCCCTTATTACCTCATCATGAGGAAATTTTTGGGGGGGAATGAGATACACAAATTCTGCCAATCACATTTTTAAGCCAACACCTGTGTGCAACTTTTATGTAAGTAAAATTTTTTCACACAGCAAATATTTTTTTTTTTGCTACAGACCCTAGCAGAGGTACTTTTCCAGAACTGCACTTTCCACACATTTCTTCAGAAATTTTTTAGTGGCAGTAAATGTACGATTTCTTAACTTTCTTTATGCTACATATATAGATAGTAAAAATGTTGAACTTTACAACACTATTTTTAGTTTTGCAATATTTTTATTAGTTTAACTGCTACAACATTTCTACAAAATGTGGGATGACTGTTCTGATTTACCCCGTCCATCCCTTATTACCCTGTTTGATGGTACACACTATAATTGTATATGTACTTGATATAAGCACCGGGTGTACTTGGGTCTGGTGAGCGTGTTGTTACTGCAAAAAAATCTCCAAAATCTGCTTCAACAATCATTTTCAAAACCTTTATTAACCAGTATGAAGTATGGAAGCTGTGTTTGTGATGTTTTAAAAATGGTATAAATCTGTATATGCTTGAGAAGCTGTGTTTGTATTCAATACAATAGTGTGCTGGTGACCAATGACATCATTGATGATGCTAAGAGATTCAGTGTACAAAAGAGACTTTGTAAAACTGTAACTTGTACATTAGTTTTGTAGTGTGCTTGGTGTGGACTGTGGTGTAAATAGTCATAGCAACCCTTATCCCTGGTGTACCACCATACATCTCAGTACATCCCAAAAAGAAGTCTGGTGTGCAGACATACCTTCCAGGCATTTGAACTGATGAGATTAGCCAGATTCATGGGCGTTTTATTTGATTCCCGGGTGGCTTTTGTCCGATTTTCCAGTTATGTTTTCAAGCATAGATAGTAGATAGAAAAGATATTTTCTTGAAATTGGTCTAAGATATTTTCTTGAAATTGGTCTATTTCTTAAATTCTTATTCCCAGATATACTTCTGTAAGTCTTAAAATATGTTAAGGAACATTTATAAATTTATTCACCTGATAAAATTCCATAAATTCATCTTGCAAATTCCTGGAAAGTGTTTCTGCAAAATTTACCTCAATGTACTTCTCAAAAATAAAATTATAGTATATTTGAATAAAAAAAATTATTTAACACAAGGTTATGATTTTTATGGACACAAGTCATTAATGGGGTAGAATTTTACGGTTTAAAATACTGCCCTAGAAGATATTAGTCAATATAATTTATTAAACAGGATTACTTGAAAGGATTATGTTTGTGCTATTTTATGTCCATAACGGTATAATGATGTTGTCAAGAAAATTTGACTTTAAGAGTTAGATTGGCAGAGCAATAAAGTCTTGGAGCTCTGAGACTAATAGATCTGTGTAAAATCTTACCTCTCTTGTTAGTTTGGCTTAGTTCCATAATCTTTACCAGATGCTCGTGGGTCTTAAAGCCATTTGGGTCTTATGCAAGAGCAATTATGAGTGAGTTATCAGTATTTTCAGGTAAGTAATAAATAAGTAATATAACTTGTAAACCACCTGACAGCTGCCACATCTGAGTGATTTATGACATTACTGTCACTGCTCTTAAAAAATATATACATATATACAGTCGAACGGGGTAAAAAGGACGGTATGAGAGTTTTTTGTTAATAACTTCTTACCATGAAACATTTCATAAACAAGTTTAGGCTCATTTTATAGCTCTTTGCAAGGGCTATCGAATGGCATCTTCAAAAAAATTCCATATGCTATTTGTAAGGTGCCAGATGCAAAATAAAACCATCCCGATTTACCCCTGGGAACGGGGTAATCTGGGACACTTGCAATAAAAGTTAATTTTTAAACATTTGAAGCATGCAGAGTGTACTCATCCATTACTAACAGTACTCTAAAGTCCTCCTCTTTCATTGTAGATGATGTAGATGTAAAATAACTGACATTTTCTGTGATTTTTACTTGTTTTTTCTTTATTGATATAATATTACCATATTCATTAATTACTGTATTATTAATGTGATATTACTGTATCCATGGACATGCCATTGAGCATTGAATACGACCTTGTCCACTGCAAGCTTCATATCGACAGCCATGTAGCATTTCTTCTGTATCTGTAAGCTTACAGGATGGTTTGTAATTTCGCACAATTTTAATCGAGTCTAGTGATTTCACTATAACAAAAAAGATTGTGAAAAACATCTGAAACAGAAAATAATGTTTTAGTGACAACCATCATATGTTTTGAAGAAACGAATCATAGTTTAGGTCAATTAATTTTCATTCTATGATGCCCAGTGCACAATTCTATATATAGCATTCTATGTACAATTTTGTGATGACCGATGATGCACTAATTTTTCGATTGAATTTTTTTTCGCTGAGTGAGGTAAATGTAATCAAAATTCTTTGTTGTCAATAAATTTTTGTGTTAACTGGAGCCTTTGCTAACTGCGGTTCTACTGTAAATGCATTTTTAAGGGTGTCCCTAATTACCCCGGGGGGGTGTCCCTTTTTACCCTGTCGTGTGGAAATGGCTGTCATTTTTTTTTTTTGAATGAGATAGGAATATTCTGTCAAATACGTTTTCAAGCCGACACCTGGGTGCAACTTTTATGTAAGTAAAATTTTGTATACGGCAAATATATATTTTTTTTTGCTCCAGACCTTAGCAGAGGTACTTTTCCAAAATCGCACTTCTCACACTTTTTTCAGCAATTTTTTAGAGATAGTAAATGTTTGATTTCTTGACTAACTTTATACATAATAGATAGTAAAAATGTTGAAGTTTATGCCACTATTTTTAGTTTTGCAATATTTTGATTAGTTTAGCTGCTACAACATTTCTACAAAATGTGGGACGTGTGTCCCTATTTACCCTGCCCGTCCCTTTTTACCCTGTTTGACTGTACTATGTTTAGTTGAGGGAACCAACACTCATCAGTAAGTTACTTTTTATTTACCTATTCTAGATTATCAATAAAAAGAAAGCTGATAATAAATAATGCAAGCATCGAAAGTGCAAGAAGAAGTGTAAGCAAGCTTATGTTGTCTAATAGGCTATGAAAAACTGCTCTATTTATTAATTCTTTTGTATAATAGGTTATTTTTTGTCTCATCATAAATTTAAAATAAATTGCTGGATTATCATAAAAATTGCAAAGTGTCTCCTTAATTGAGTTACTTTCAGCCAACCAACTTGTTGAAAGCCTATCTAGAGCTAACAGCTCTGATTGTGACAAGCAGATTAATCAAATACTGAAGATTTCCTAATAATAACAATTTATATGCTTATTTATGACTCTGTAGAAGATATATTAAATGCAATAAAATTTCATGACAGACCAACTATAATTTTCATCTAGAGGAATATTTTTACTAGAATAAGATTACAATAGTAATGTTTCTCCATCATACTATCTGCAAATTGAGGGTTAATTAGGTTCTGTTTCAAGATTTTTCTATATTTATTCTTTCAAATCAATCACTTAACCAAAAAGCAATTTTTAGTTCACGAAATTTGGTACCATGTGAGGTTTTGACTGACTGGCTCATCTTAACAAAACATCTCATGTTTGACCTCTAAGACCTCAAACATTTTTTGCAGAGCTTCAAATATCTCAATCTGGCATTTTTATCATTGAAATTCTTGTTTTTATGATTTTGACTATTAGGTTATGGTACAATATTTTAACTTTGCTTCTTTTCACAGTAATGCGGAACTATGACCCTGATCTTCATCCATTCCGGGATGCACGAAATTACAAATTGGCCCTAAATGCCACGAAGCTAGAGCGTGTCTTTGCTAAGCCATATGTTGGCTGCTTGGTTCATGGAGAGTCTATTTCTGCAATGGCCAGACATCCTGAGATGCTCAACTACATTTTCTCTGGCACATATGAAGGACAGGTAATTAATTAATAATTAACTACTATATTTTGTTATGCTATTAAGATGTTTTCAAAAAAGTAATGTATGAAACTTCTGTGTGCATCTGATCTGTTTAATATTTTAGCAAACTGGTCACCTGGTGTTATGGGAGTATCCATAAATTATGCTCTGATGATGAATAGGTCTAGGAAAGTACTTTAAAAGAAATATGCGTTTGTTCTCTGCGACTTTTCTCTTTATTATTGATTTGTGTGCAGATTAATCTGCATCTATGTTTTCTGGAAAGGAGGTTAATTCTCTAACTATGTGTTGACAAATATTGTATACTATTTTATAGTTGTACTAATTTTTTACTAAATTTGCAGCTGACACTCTGGGACACAAGCCTGGAAAAACAGATGTGGAAGGTGCAAGCCCACAATAGTCATATATGGAGCATAACAGCTGACTGCAAGGGTGAAACGTTTTATACCGTGGGTCATGACAAAGCCATTAAGAGGTGGTCTTGTTCAAATATTACAGAAGCCTGTGACAGAATGGATGTCTTGAAAGGTCCAGGGTCTGCCAACCATCTCTCTGAGCCAATTGACACATGGCTGTGTGATGTAAGGAATTATCTTATTGTAAAATTTTCAATTTAATTAATTTTTGCATTGAGGTAGAATGACCACTTGATTTTAAATATTAGGTATATAAATTCTTATAATATTATATCTTGAACCCGCATCAATGGGGTGCTTTAGCTTGGATGTTCATTTTTACAACACTTCTCTTTAACTTCACTTCTTGTTTGTCTGTCTGTCTGCTACAAATCTTATAATCGAAATTTGACACACCTCTACTTATCCTATCGATCCGAAATTTTTGCACACTCTTGTGAAGTTGGAGACAATGCAAGAATCAAATGACAAAATAAATTATTTAAAAAATTAAATTTTTTTCAATATTAAAAAAATTGAAAAGATAATTTTGTCAGCTACAAATCTTATAACTGATATTTGACACACTTTTACCTGTCCAATTTATCTGAAATTTTGCACACTTGTGTGAAGTTGGAGGCAATGCATGAATCAGTTGACAGAATAGATAATTTTGTAAAAAATATATATATTAAAAAATGGAAAAATTAATTTTTTTAATATTCGAAAATAAAATGAGAAATTCATTGTACATCTTCAACATTGGAGACACTGGATTCTTTAGAAGTGTTGTCTTTAAAAAGTAATTTTTAAACGTATATTATTATAGTTCCAAATTCTTCCTGTTGACTTTGAGGACCACTGCTCAATTTGTGTGAGGACAATATTTAACTCTGAATCATTCACCATGACAGACAGTGATCTCAGGATTGTCGCACCACCGATACCAAAATGAATTTCTGACTTGTGGAGAGAGAGTTTTGCTCTGGGACTCAGAAAAGAAGGTGCCTGTGCGTAGCTTTGACTGGAGTGACACCGGAGGAGGAGAGGCATCCAGTAGTGCTATAGCCGTCAAATTCAACATGATAGATACTAATGTATTTGGTGAGACATCAATCTAAACAGGAGTTTGTCAATTTGTGTTTGTTGTTATGATACAAGTATGCAATGAGGAGAATTTATTTTCAACAATTCATCTTATCTCATTATTAAAATGTTATGACCATTATATATAACACAGATAGCCCTGATTCATTATCACATATTTGTTTTTTAACTATTGTATCTGAAAGGCAGTATTTTTTATCATTTTGTAGAATTGGATAAAAATTTTTAGCCGTTTTTTTTCAAGATGGTTATCAGGTTTTACTATGACAGCATGAGTTTTGATAGTGATAAGAGCTTATTTTTATTGAAGAGGCAAACTCTTCTTGAAAATGCTAGAAAACTTCTTTCTTTGCTTTGAGATGAAGAACCTCTGTTTTGTTTTATAAATATATTAATTATATAAGAATAAAATGTCTTTACATTAGAATAAGTCAACTTTATTTGCAGCTTCCTGTGATCATGACAACAGTCTGATTCTGTACGACATACGAGCCAAGGATGTAAAGAAACTCAAAATGAAGCTGCGAATCAATGATCTCTCGTGGAATCCTACTGAGAGTTTTATACTCTCTGTGGTCAGCGATGACTACAAGTTAGTTTTTTTACAATATTTATGGCATGTTCTTGCTTATTTCCTTCACACAAGCTCCACAAAGAATTTATGTTGAAATTCTCAGGTTTTTGTTTTTACACTTTCTAATATCTTGTAATATAGTGTCTTGCGTGTTTAAAATTCTATTTACTGCTGTTGTATGTACTGATATGTCTTACTTTATTTTATGTAGGTACTCACTCAAAGTTGTAAAAATTTGTTCCTTCATATTTACTGCGGCATTTTGGTTCAGATTTTTTAGTTGATTATAAGTTGAACAATCAAATAGAAAACAAATTTTAATGATCAATTCACCGTGACAGATAGATAGCATTATAAAACTCTCAGGAAGCTATATTTTTGTATAACTTTTGCTTTCGTTCTATTGTTAACAGTTTTTCCACAGTGGTCTCTGACTTGATCGCACTGAAAATTTATGAATGCGTTTTCATTGAAAAATTACACATTCTTTACATTTGTAATTGTAGCATTTTTACATTGTCTCTTTGAAGCGCTAGAAGAATTGCTATTATTACCACTTGAAAGATCACATTTTATATTATATAATATTATATAAGCTCACATTTTACTTACTTTTTCAACACAGCCACTTAAAACATTAGTTTAATTTGACACACAATGGTTCACTCCTTCTATCTACATACTCTTCGAAATTAAGGAATCCAGTCATTAACCTTTGAAAGTATTCAGTAATTCAAAGTTAAATTAACGCGACTTTCTAATTCAAAGTTAAATTAATGCATTTCATCAACAATTCATTATAAATTTTTATTGTATCTGCACAGCGCGTACACCTTTGACGTGCGCATGATGGATGCAGACAGGCGCATTGTATGCATCCACCAGGGCCACACGAGCGCCGTCACTTGCCTCGACTACTCCCCCACTGGCCAGGAGTTTGTCACAGGTTCCTTCGACCGCTCCATCAGGATATTCAGGGTGGATGAGGTGAGCTTTTATGAATTTTTAGTGTTGATGTTTCTGTAACTAATACTGATAATCAAATTTTACTAAGCCATCTATATAATTCAAATGCATGAGGTAAGGATAATTTGTCATGTAAGGAGTTTGCTGTAACTTATAAACCATTGTCATGAAATGCGATGGCCTCTATTTCATATCAGGGCAGTTCTTAAGAATCATATCAGTTTCCTTGTTTTGAATCAATTTTCCAATTTCTTCTCAATTCCAGAAATTTACTTAATATTCTCTCCCATAAACTCAAAAGTCTAGTTCTAGAATTAAAAAAATTAAATTTTTTAATTCTTTCACATGTTCTATGGTCATTACTTGCGAATATGTCAGCTGTTTAAAAATTTCTCAAGGGGCGATCACGAGATGTATATCACGGCAAGCGGATGCACAAGGTCACCTCCGTGCTCTTCTCTTCTGATGACAAGTTCATCTATTCTGGTTCCGCGGACCATAACATCCGCATCTGGAAGAGCAGAGCTAGTGAAAAAATGGGCCTGGTAGGTTTGAGAAAACATATCATCAATTGATTTTTAGCCAGAGTGAGAAATGTTTTAAATTAGGATAATCGTTTGCTTACAACATGTAAAATGTCGTAGCCAAAGTTCATAACTGTAGAAATGATCCGAGTGTCCTGAATCCTGATCCACTTTTGGAGGAGTAAATTATACAAGAACATTTTATGCAATGATTTGCAAGAGCATTCACATGCGATTTCATTGCTGAATGTATATAATGAATTTGAGATTGTGTTTTTGAATTATTTTTGCTATAGATTACGAATCTAATGCTTTTTCACTGAGAAAAATAACTAATTTTTGCTCAATTTATAACTTTTTTAAAAGTATTTTCTTCAATGTAAAATGGTAATATTGTTGTTTGGAACATTACACTATTATTCATGAGTTGAACGCATAAAATTGCAGATGAACGCTCGGGAGAAATTGGCGATAGACCTGAGTAGGCAGCTGCGGGAAACCTACAAGGACATGCCGGAGATAAGGCGGATCGCCCGTCACAGGCACCTACCCAAGAGCATCCGCGCTGCTGCTAAAGAGCATCACCTCATCCGCACTTCCCGAGCCAGAAAGTAAGTTTCTTTACCTACTTTAAATTTGCTATATAACTTGAAAGTTTATTCTCATCGGCATTATCAGTCAAAAAATGTCTTTGATATTTAACTTTCATTTAGATGTGTAGATTTTAACGGTGTAACGGGCATTCTTCTAGTGCATGTATTGCACGTGTTTTTTACCGATTGTAGATTACCTAACAGGAGCTAATGTGATCAGAGAAAAATCCACAATGCTCCTGCTTAAATTGATGTGGATTATTGCTAGTATTTATATCTTTATACTTGAAAAGTTATCGATGTACAGATTTGAAAATTTATGGTGAGTTTTTAATGCCAACATTGTTGATACGATAATGGCTGTTGAATTAATGGGAAACTTTTGATCTGAAATTTTAGGTGCGGTATATATTTATAGCATTATAACAAATCATTTAGTGCCTGCGAAACGTGTTTAGTGAAATAATAATTTACATTTTCACCGCCTACGATTTTTATTTAATTAACGCTCATTTGAGATGTTACAGGTGTACGGCTATATATAAATTACTATACTAACATGTTTAGAATTTTTCTACTTCTATACTTCTCTGTTTGTAATAGTTTTATTCCCTAATTTGCGTTGCAGAGAAGAGAACGTGCGCCGACATAGCAAGCCAGGTTCAGTCGTAGGCGAAAGTCGTCTAGAGAAGCCCGTGTTTGGAGTACAGGATGAGGAAGCTGTTGATCCACTCGCCGAGCAAGCAGCCTTAAAGAAGTTGGAGAAGTTTGCAGTTGGCGCTAAAAAACGGATGGAAGCGCGTAAAAAAGAAAGAACTTCTATCAAAAACAAGAAAATGAAGGTGTCCAGTCCAAAAGGCGAAGAAGAAAATATATCTGAAGAAAAGAATAATGGTAAGTTTAAGAAGAAAAATCCCAAAGGGAGCTTTAAAGATGAATCGTTATTATGAGTTTTTTTGCTTCAGATATGTTGAGGAAAGGCAGAAAAATATATAAAGAGCGATTTGTGTTTTTTTTTTCACTCGTACCTCTTTGTTCAACTAAGGGCGGAGGTATTGTGTCGGCTTTGTAGATTAGGTCAGTATTGATGTGGCGGTCTGCATTTCTTGTGATGCTGACTCGTTTCCAACATGATTGAGTCTCGCAGTCAAGTCCGGAGAAGTTTCGATGGAGTTCTCTCGATTAGATCTATCTGAATTGACTTATTTGAAATAAAAAATAAACATACTTGAATCTAGCTATGTCAGAAAATTTTAAGGCATTTATTTCATTTGCATTTTATTTTAGAATTCGGATGACACACAACGTTTTGTAGCTCTACATGCGGAGGCGCCAGTACGAAAGACAACTGCTTTAGCCTTTTTAGGGAAAGATTCAGTAGGGAGGAAGTAAATGCACGAACGTGTGATCATTGCTGGCAATTTTTTTTATTAATTAACTTGTGTCTCAGGTCGCTTGTAAACTTCAAACCCTGGAACTCGTGAGCTGTAATACGTGAAAGTTATTGTAAAAAGTGGACTCTTACATTTCATGTATCAATGACGTATCCGTGCCTTATCAAGGGTGCCTGTTAGAGGGAGGAGCGGTGCCGTTGGCCACAAATATAACTCTTAACAGGTCTCGGACAAATTTACGGCCGGAAAGGTTTTCTTAGTGTTTTTTATGTTTTTTTGTGTGTTTTCAATGGAACCTGTTTAATGTGTGTTTAATGGAACCTAATATGCGAGGTTTTCGTTGATTGGCTAGGTTTTTTTTCTATGTTTGGAGTCCTGCGGCCGCGGGTCCGGCCGTAAATTTGTCCGAGAAGTGAATGTATATTCAAAATTTCGTTCAAATCTGTTCAATAGTTTGGAAGAAATTCTTTGAACACTGCGAATTTCGGCCTGTTTCGCAATATATGCGTAACTTAAGAATGAAGGTGAAATTTAAAAAAAAATACGAGCTGAACATCACCGTTAGGTTTCGATGAATACATGTTCCAAGTTTCATAGGGCTGCGTTCATCACCGACATGTGGAACAGCCTACCTGTACCTGATAGGCTGATAGCATCGTTGACGCTCCGAGTATGAACGTCTTCAAAAACAGACTAGGCCTAGACGAAGCTATGCAAGAGCATATGTTCAGTCTTAAAATGCCTAGCAAATTACGGACCAGGCAATAAGTCCAGTTTTGTGAAATACACATTTGTGTTTAACCTTTATCTTTTAAAATTGCAGCGTACTAAATTTCAAGAAAGAGGCGTATGTCTGTCACAGTGTCACTGTCAGTCTGTGGGGGCCCGGGGGCGCTATAAATTCACTAGGGAGCCAAAGGGGGCGCCAGCCTGAAAAAGTTTGGGAACCACTGGTTTAGGTGATGTTACTGATGTATGGAAAGGTTTGTTTGGGTGGAGAGTCGGGGTAAATGTGGAAGTAAGCCGCAAGCGCATGCTGGGTGAAGACTTGAGTGTCCTTGAAGAGTGAAGACTAAACTGACTTGAGCAGTGGGTGCAGGCTCATGGCTGACCAGGCTGAGGCTTCTATGGGCTATGGCTCTAAAATCTAAACATAGTAGACCAGTGAAGTATCATGGAAACCAGCATTAACATACATAAGATATTGGTTTAAATCTTGAAGCGATAAGGAAATGAAAAATGAACTGATTCTAAACAATCTCATGTTTCATGATGTTTGACACAATGGCCATCAGTCCATCACTGCAATTCTGCAAAGAGCCTAGGCCTTATCCCCCGCTTAGTGTGCTTTTTTTTATTGCTAATTTCCATCACTCCTAGCAATCATAATAAATGCATGTGAACTGACAGTGAACTTACATAGTGGCAAAGTACCTAGAGAGTTTTTTAGACTCTCTTTCAAGTTCATTTTTGAGTCCCATAAGTAGACCAGTAAAGTATCCTGGATACCACTGATGTGAATGTCTGTGGCTCTGTGCCATTTGTCGTGTAAGCTATCAGCCATATTGATCGTAATGTGCATACTTCTATTGTTGATCGTTCTATGCCAATCATTGTGCATAGGCCATAATCTGCCATATCAATTTTAAAATGTACATCCATGGCGCCATCATCCGCCATGCCATCACTTGACCGCACATTGCACAACGGCCTTATCAATACTTCAATAGCAGTGCATGTTGGTAGTCTTGGTCTGGGCGTGGGCCACTTGCACATTGTCATGCATAGTGACAAACCAGAGATTTTTTAGAATCAGTTCATTTTTAATTTCCTCATTTACATAAGATTTAAACCAATTTTTTATGTATGATGATGCTGGTAATGTCATGTCAAATGTTATGTGCGTTCTGTGTACTGCTGATCATTGTGCATGGGCCAATGGGCCCTTATCAATTGCAGCGTGCAATCATGGCAAGCCAATCCAGCTTCTTCAACCTCCTGCATCCCAATAATCTGTAATGGATGGATCAAAGGTCACTTAAGAGGCTAAGACTAAACAGAAGCTGGTGTCAGTGGTGTGTGGTCTACTTGTCTTCAACTTCCTCTTTAATCTATTTTCACCAGTCTAGTCAAAATAACTATTCTTTGCTGAAAATAAAAGCCTGAAATTTATGCCATGTTATGACTTGAAAATTTTTTTGTATGTCTATTAGAAATTTTGCATACTAGTCTTGGAATAAATTGGTTTCCTGAAGGCTTAGCACTGAGTTTGCAGAATGTAGGCCTACATAATAAATTCCTCTACTTAATACTCAAAATCATGGTTTAAATCTTGAAGCGATAAGGAAATGAAAAATGAACTGATTCTAAACAATCTCATGAGTCATGTTTGACACAATGGCCATCAGTCCATCACTTGATCTTGATCTTCTACTAGTTGACGGCGTGTTCCACCAGAGGTGATTCTTGCCGTAATCTGCTTATTTATTAAGTCTCAGGGCTGGAATTGACGAGTTTTGCCAATGAATTCTTCAACAGCTTTGCAGATGTGCGGCCAGGCAGGGCAGTTGGAGGTGTCTCCTCCCAGTAGTGAAGCAGTGCAGAGTGTCCACTTTGCAGAGAGTGAACGAAGAATTAAAGACCTACGGCGACGCATTATCGGCAAAATTTTCGCCTTCAGAAGATCTTGCCGACACTCTGATTTTTTTTTCGCACTTTGCTTTTCAACACTTTGGCACAACACGTCTTATCACCATGAACAATCGATGCAAACTCCCAGTCCATCACTGTAATTCTGCAAAGAGCCTATCTCCCACTTAGAGTGCTTTTTTTGAGTGCTAATTTCCATCACTTGTAGGTGTTGTAGCAATCATAATGAATGCATGTGAATGTCTGTGCCATTCGTTATGTAGGCTATCAGCCATATTGATTGTAATGTGCATACTTCTATCATTCTATGCCGATCATTGTGCATAGGCCATAATCCGCCATATCAATTTTAAAATGTACATCCATGGCGCCATGCCATCACCGCACATTGCACAACGGCCTTATCAATACTTCAATAGCCTACATAATGAATTTCTCTACTTAATACTCAAAATCATTCACAGATCTTTTTAAGGTTTATCTACTTGTACCTATTTGTCTTAGCTTGGGTCCCAATGTCCCATCATCTATCTCATGGACCATGATGGACACAAGCGCGACTGCCGACTGGTATGCATTCCTAAAAGGTGAAAAGAGTGAAAATGATCTGAGAGTGGATGGGCAGGCTGAATGTAGAAAGAGTGCATGTAACTGAACGTCGTGAACGAACAATGTTAGCAGAGGCCGTGAAGAAATTCTGAGAAGAAATTGGTGGAAATGGGATGAATGACTTATTTACGCCAAACAAAAACATAAAAATCTGAGTGGCATGGACAAGGAAATTACAAATGAGGAAGTGAAATGAGTGGTAGAATAACCGAAGAATAATAAGACAGCTGGAATGGTTGAGATACCATATGAGATGTATAAGTATGGAGTTGAGAGTGCAATTGTCAGACTGACTGATCTTTTCAATGTTTGGACAAATGAGTGTGTACAGTGTACCTGATGTGTGGAATGAAAGTTGTGTAACCTTGGTTTGCAAGGGTAGCCTACAGGAGCAAAAAGGAACTTGAGAATTAAAGACCGATTGACCTTGCTGACACCAGTGCTAAGATTTTCTGTGCGGTTATGGATGAGCGGATGCAAAGATGTATGAAGAACGGAAGAGTGTTTGATGAAAAGCAAAATGGTTTAAGATACGACAGATGAGTAGAAGATAATGTATATATATGTTGAGAATGAAAAGAGATGGAAAGAAAGTGTACTTGGCTTTTCTAGACATAGAAAAAGCGTATGACCAGGTGTCGGGTGGATAGAGAGCTAATGTGTCAAACACTGGGAAAAATTGGAATGAGTGAAAATTGTGTGAGGCTTGTGAGAAGTATGTATGTAAATACTAGAGCAAAATATAGACTTGGGGGATGTAGAGATACACTGGGTGATGAGCAGGAGAGGGGCACAACAAGGCTGTATCCTGTCTCTGCTTCTCTTCAACCTCTACACAGAAGAGATGGCCATGAGGGTGAGGACAGAGGAGAATGGATGTTTGTGTGCGACGTGCGTGTAGGCAGCAAAAGGTTAAAAATTCTTCTGTATGCTGATGATGCTGTGATGATGAGTGAAAATAGTAAAGAACCACAGAGTATGCTGGGTTGTGTGCCTGTGTGACTGCACATGGGAGGGACTTCAATGTGCGATTCAGTGCTGAGAAAAGCCAAGCACTTGTTGTGAATGGATTGATTGAGGATATGAGCAGAGTGTGGATGTTGAGGGAATGAAATTGTTAAGACAAACGAGTATAAGTACTTAGGGATGTGTGTGGACCGTGAAGGATGTCAGTGAACAAAGGCCGCAAATTCAAGCAAGGTGAACCAATGGTTGAGTATACTTGGAAGTGCAGCAACAGTGAGAGTGAGTAAGTATGCAGTATAACCAGTATTGAGGGAATTGTGGAAGAGTGTGGCAGTGCCTAGTATTATGTATGGTTTGGATGTGATAGCATATAGTGATAGTGAGCTATATAAATTGGAATTGGTACAGAATAGAGTGGCGAGATTGACACTAGGAGCCCCCAGGTGGACTGGGGTATAGGCCCTGAGAGGAGACATGGGATGGAGTACCTTTAAAGAAAGAAGAATGAGAGCAGTTTTGAGGTATAAAGTGAGACAGGAGCGAATAGACAATGAAGGTTGGGCACGAAAGATGTATGCGTAAGTGTGGTATGCATGAAGCATGGGTGCGCCAAAGGCCCACTGGGCCAAAGGACGAATGGGTGGTGACAGTACGGGGTGCAATTGGTATAGAGTGGGAGGAAAAAGAGTGGAAAAGAGAGATAAATAAGCAAGTGAAAGACTATAGCTGAGCATGTGGAAGCAAGGAATGGAGGATAAGGACACTCTAAGACTATCAGATGAAAGTGATGCCAAAATATGAATGTATGTATGATGGTGGTAGAGGTGGGGACCTTCTGTTTTGTGTTAGGGCAGGGGCGCTAGATGTGAATGGACATACATACAGGTGGAAGGAGTGGAGGGAAGATAAATGTTTTATGTGTGATGGGGGATGAGAAGGAAACTGTGGAGCACTTGTCCATGGAATGTGGGGTGTGTGAGAGAGAGGGACTGTCTATGGTGGAGGTGATTCTGAATGAGAGAGTCAAGATTAACAGCATGGGGTATGAGATAACAAGCAAAGAGTGGATGGCAATGATTGTGGGTCTGCCTGAGGGAGCAACTGTGGCTATGTTTGAGAATGTGAAGAGATATTTGGAAAATGTGTGGAGGATGAGGGAGAGAAGAAGGATGATAAGAGTGGGGTCTTGAGGAGTGGAGAGGAGAGGGTGGGAAGACAAATGTGACTGTGCAAAATTATTTTGGTATGTTGTTTGCTTTTTTTTAGGATGTTGCATAGCAAAATTGTTACGTGTTTTGCTTTTTTTTCTTAGGATTGCTGTGAATACATTTTAGTTGAACTGTTTTTAACATAGGAGTGTGAACTTCTACTTTTTTGATGCTAGTAAAAAGAGCTTTTATGCAGCATGTATGACCGATTTCAAGGTCGTGACTGGAGGTCACCACGCACCCCAATTCCAATCCATATTCATGATATTGGCATAGAGCTGATAGAGGGAAACACATTTTCTGGCCATGTTACTTGATTAGGTTTTCCTTATCACGTGTTATCTTATTGATAACCTTCTGTTTTGACTAATTTCTTCCAAAGTAACTGCTAGTCTGCTTATTTACTCTGCTACCATCCTACTCCCACTCTTACTCTCTTAAGACTCTCTTAGTCTTAGTAGTAGCATAATAGCATTGCCATTCAAAAATGTCATGTTTTAAGTTCCTAACATTTAAACAATAAATTCATAGTGGTAAAGGAGAAAATTTTTTGTTGCCCTTCTCCAAGTTTATTTTTGAGTCCTGTAAGTAGACCAGTACTGTCAGCATCAAATGGGGCAATAAGGGACAGGCAGGGTAAATTGGTACAGATCTCCAACATTTCATAGAAATGTTGTAGCAACTAAACAAATTGGAATATTGCAAAATTAAAAATAGTGGTAAGTGGTGTAAAGTTCAAAATTTTTCCTATCTATGTAGCATAAAGCAAGATGATAAATCATACAGTTACTACCTCTAAAAAATCTCCCAAAAAAGTGATAGTGAGATTTTGGTAGAGTACTAAAGTCTGTAGCAAAAAAATATTTGTTGTATTAAAAAATTTTACTTCCATAGAAGTTGCATACAGCCACTGGTGTTGGCTTAAAAACGTGATTGACAGAATTTGCATAGCTCATTCCACATAAGAAAGGGCCATTTCTGCACAATGGGGTAAAAAGAGACACCCCAAAAAATGCATTCACAGTAGAACCTTGGTTAGCAAAGGCTCCAGTTAACAAAAAATAAATTAACAACAAAGATTTTTGATTACATTTACCTTGCTCAGCAAAAATAATTTCACTTAGACATTATAAAAGCAGCTTGCAATTTTTTAAAAATAGCTCATTCCACATAAGAAAGGGCCATTTCTGCACAATGGGGTAATAAGAGACACCCCAAAAAATGCATTCACAGTAGAACCTTGGTTAGCAAAGGCTCCAGTTAACAAAAAATAAATTAACAACAAAGATTTTTGATCACATTTATCTGAAATTACCTTGCTCAGTGAAAAAAATTTCAATTCACGAAAAATTAATGCATCATTGGTCGTCACAAAATTATGCATAGAATGTCTTGATAGAATTGTGCACCGGGCAACATAGAATGAAAAGTAATCAACCTAAACTATGATTTATTTCTCCAAAAAATGTGATGGTTGTCACTAAAATATTCCTGTCTGTTTTACATTTGTTTTTTAAAATCTTGTATTATTATAATGAATTCACTTGACCCGATTAAAATAATGTGAAATTACAAGCCATCCTGTAAGCTTACAGATTTGGAAGAAATGCTATACTGCTGCTGATATGAAGCGTGCAGTGGACAAGGTTGTTTTCAATGCTCAATGGCATGTCCATGGATATGGTAATATCGCATCAATAAAGCGGTAATGTATGTATATGATAATATAATATCAATAAAAGAAAAACAAGTAAAAATCACAGAAAATGTCATTTATTCTACCTCTACATCATCAACAAAGGAAAAGGAGGACTTCAGAGTACCTCTAGTAATGGATAAGTACACTCTGCATACTTCAAACGTTTTAAAATTAAGTTTTATTTCAAGTCCCCCTTATTGCCCCATTCCCAGGAGTTATTTGGGAGGCTTTTATGTTGCGCCTGGCACCTTAGGAATAGCATATGAAATTAATCCACACTTTCACTTAGGAGCTTTTGATACTAACATTTAGTATTAATACAAAGTCTTCGATACATTTGAAAATGAATTATGGTTTATGTTGTATCTTTTAGTTAGGTGCCATTAAAAAAAATATGGATTTTCTGATTAGTTCTGTAGCAGCTGTTGGAGCAGTGATAATAACCAATCCTTTGGATGTCCTCAAAACAAGACTACAACTTCAAGGGGAACTGAAGGCATCTGGAGAATACCAAAAAGTCTACAAAAATGTTCTACAAGGAGCTGTTGATACAATAAAGGTATATTTTAAAATATCTATTGTCATATTTTTGTATGCATTTAGGTTAATAATCAAATTTATTTATTTGACTTACAATGGCTTTAATTAATTAGTTGCCTGCCATCTGAACAGCCTTTAATTACTGACCTACAATTGCTTATTTACGGAGTAGCGAGAAATATCTACTGACCTTCAACTGGGTATTTACTGAGAAGTGAAAAATATCTGCTTGCCAACTGGAAACCATGACTCTCTTGCCATTTTTAGGATGTAGTTCTTGCAATTAGCAGTTGATTTTTAGAGTTTGGTTCAGTTGTCTAACAATCTGTACAGCGATAATTTTTGAACTTGGTTTAGAACTAGAAGTTTTTACCTGGACTCTGGTCATCCATCTTGTCTAACCGGGCATACCAAACAAAAAAAAAAAAAAAAATGGGGACAGATATGTATAAACATCCTGCAATGTAAAGAAACTTTTATATACGGTATTTATCTATTAGAAAAACCAGTAGTATACCTTTTTGGATTTTATTTAAATAGGTATTGTTCAAAATTTGTTGAACACTTGTGCAATACTAATAAAAAAATTAAAGTATCATATAAAAATGCTGCTAAATATGTCAACATTACATTCACCTTCTTAGGCATTACTTTGATCCAATGGGTTGGGAAATTATGGTGGTTATCGGATTTGTAGCAGACAAAATTATTTTTTTTTTGTAATTGAAATGTTTTTAATTTTCAAAATTATTTATTCTGTCAATTGATTCATTCATTGTCTCCAACTTTACGCGAGTGTACAAAATTTCAGATTGATTGGGCAAGTAGAAGTGTGTTAAACATATATTATAATATTTGTAGCAGACAGATAAACAAACGAGAAGTGAAGTTAAGGAGAAGTGTTGTAAAATCAACTTTGCTATTATATTATATGTCATAACCAATTACTGTATGTTAAGCAAGTTTTTTTTTTCTTTAGTTTTGATGCATCAGCATTGACTTGTTTTTGTTCAGATGATTTTGTCAATAGTTTTTTACTGCAAGCAGAACAAACTTATTTTGTTCTTCAGTGTTCATATGCAGTTTGTTGTATTCATTATCAGTGCAACAACTCATTTGTCTATGTCATTGATGTCTCCTAAGCAATGAGCAGCAGCTTTTGCATGCCCTAAATGACATTCCTTCAATAGGAACTGCAATTAAAAGTCAAATGGTCAGCTCAAATGGTCAAATGTTTATAGTAAAACATGACAGCAACTACAATGAGGTCTGTCAACATAAAAATTTAGGTGTGAATGAATTTTATGCAGAACCATGCTACTGAAAAATGGAAGTTCAAATTTTTTTTTTCAAATTTATTTGCAAGCTTCTGAGCAAAGCTTAATGCATGACACTACCGTAGTGTTTTCTTGAGAGCAAATTTACTGCAATTATGTGATTATAGAGCCATGATATTGGAGTAAAAATCAGAAATTCACCAATCTTGAAAANAAAAGCATGTTTTTTTTAATTTTTGTTCTATGATGGTTTGGAGGAGGCCATACTAGCTGTAGCTGGTGACATCAGCTGACTGGACAGACTCTGATTTGCCTCCAGGTCTGGGACAGAAGTCTTGTCTCGGTTCATACGTTTATTCCGGGACAAATTTTACCCTCTGTCCCATTATTTTTTTTCCAGAATTTTCGCGTCTCGTTTCATCTGTTCCGGTTCATTTCGAGAAAATTATTTCGAGACGCAGAAGTCTATTGGGATGTTTGGCAGTAATGTGCACTATTCAAATTACTTTACATTGTAATGTGTGTTATTAAAATTTTTATTCTATGGTATGTTTAGAATTGAAATGGTTAATCCAATGCAGCTGCAACCTAACACTAAGCCATGAATGGCAAACCCATCATTTATCCATTGACATACAGTGATAAAAAAATAAGAGAAATGCCTTACAAATCCCAAAAATATAATTTTATTTTGGTATAGGTCCACCTTTTACGGCAATTACATTCTCAATTCTGCACGGTATTGATTCAAACAAATTTTGAATCATTTCCAAATGAATTTTAACCCATTCTTCAGTTAAAAAATTTGTAAAATATCTCTNAATGAGACTAAACTTGTTTATGAAATGTTCCATCGTAAGAAGTTATTAACTGTTATTTAAAACTAATCGTTCAAATCTGTCCCGAGTAGCCCCGGTTGACGGTATATAATTGAGAAAACAATGCCATTTCTACTACTCAATCACTTTATTCAAGTTACAATACTATGGAAGCTAATAGAAACAGGAGTATTGTGTCATTGTGCAACTTTTTAAATTTTATTTCAACATCAATTCAAAAGTACCTACACTGCACTGTCTTCATTCACGATTCAACTTTCAATGCCAGATTCTGAGAAAATATATGAATGCCGTTGTAAAACAAGTGTAGGAGTAGCCTAAAGTATTGTCTGAGAAAATAAACTATATATTAAAACATTGGCTGCATTACAATGGATTAAATTTTAAATTTGATTTGTCAAATTCAATTTGATACATAAGCCTATGATATGAGTGATTGAGCATTTACAATAATTGTCAAGCTAAGCATTCATATTTTGGTCAAAGATTGGGTTGTGAATGTTCTGCCATTATCAACCTTCTCATTCAAACTGAAAAAAATTATAGCAAACTGTGATGATGTGCATCACACTGCTGTGTTAATTAAGTCAGTTAGTTGATTATATGCATCAAGATTGTGTGTAACTTTGCAATTAATGGAGACAGTAGTGCCAACATACCAATTTAATTGAAACTAATTTTAAAATTTGCTATGACAAATTGTATGGAACAAAAAAAAATAATGTTGAAAATGTTATTGATTAAATCAGAATTTGATGAAAATTGAGGGATTTTTGAGATAGCTGATATAGGCTTTGCTGATAGAATTTGCTTTGAGAATGACCTCCCAAATGCCAGACTAGAAGGCAAAAAAACTAACAGAGCAACCTGGAATCAAAGTGAGGAAAGATGAAATGACTTTAAAGCAAAAAATACATTGTCTTCAACAACAATATTCACAAAATATTAATGACATGTCACCAAACTGATTTTTCATGGTCATTATCAAAATCTAGTTCAGGATTGTAGTTATAAGTAGCAGCAGCCCTTGTTATATTCAATTTAGGTATCCTTATTACATTAATCAACTCTCATCATTGATACATGGTATTTCTTTCAAGGAAAGTGCACTGCATTTGTTAATAATTTAGATTAGTTGGTTGGGATTTTTATATCATTTACTATTTTTATTCATGAGTCAGCACTGATGTTGCATTCCAAAATATTGTGATGCGCACTACTGGGTATTTTCTAATTTTTTTCTGGGTCTCTATTGTTACTAATATATATCATTTACACTAATTTTGCAAGAAAAGAGAAGGTTATGGCTTGAAAATTAATTCATGAGCATTTGTTGTTTCATTTTAGTAAGAAAATTTTGGTTTACCATTTTTCTGATTTTAATGGGCCAAAAATAGTTTTGAATGAAATGCTGGTGTAGGGTCCTGTAATTAGAAGCATTTGCATGCATTTTGTATTTTTAAGTAGATCATGCCACCAAAGCATACAAAGTTTTCTCTCAAATTTTATGTTATACACAAAATTTTTCTGTCTGTTGAAAGTGTCAACCACAAAAGACTTTCTGTTGTGTATGATGGATATGTGTGTCTATATGTAGGTAATCCATGTACAATCAACCACTATGCACAAGCTTGAGCACTGATTGCTGCAATTCAATCAATACTGAAAAGCTGCTTCTTTTACTGATATCTTGTACCTCATAGTCATAAGTCATACTATGTTCCGTGAATAAAAAATTTCACTGCTCCAAAGTCATGTTGGGTACTAAGTTAGATTGTATTTTATGCTAATTCAACATTAGAGTAACAATTTGATTTCCTACAACCAGTACTTTTTGGAGAGGACCCAATGGCAAAATTTCTGTTTGCATTTTGTCAGCTTATGTACGTACTCAAAGTTGCAAAATGTAAGATTGAACAAAGACATGTAATTGAAGCCATGGGCTTTTAATACAACAAAAATATGCGAAACACAAATTATAATGTTTAATGAAAATATCAAGTTTTCTGAACTTTGCTGCATAAGTTTCTGCACTCTAAAAACAATAGCATATCTTGTCTATGAATTGTTATTGGTTCTTCTTGAAACAGTTAATGCACATTGAAATTCCTTTGTACTACCTAAGTACATTATATTTATGACTGAGTTTAAATTGATTCTTGTTGAAATGCAAACATTCAGTGTTGTGGTAACTGGAGATCATAATACATAATTAATAGCCTGTGTGAATAACTTACTTTTAAAGCCTTAAGTTGATGAAGTTATAGAACAGCAAAATTAAAATTTTCAAATTTTCAAATATGTATAAGATATTTCAAATATGTATCAAATATGTATGATGAGCTGCCAGATTATTTATTTATCTTGAATATTTTAATTTAGAGCTGAAAAATCTTGGATCATTTATTTATTTGCATTTATTACCGATTTAATCTCTTTTTAAGGCTGAAGGTATACGAGGACTGCAGCGTGGAGTGTGGCCTGCTTCTTGCTACCAAGTTAGTGATGAGATAAGTTCAATTATTGATTTCATAGTCTTGAATTTTTCAATTCTTTGTTGTATAATTCATAGTATTTTGTGTTTTAAGATTCATAAAAATCAATATACCTATGTAATAGGAAGTGGATCCAAGTGTAATTAATGAGCCTTAGGTTTGAATTATATTAAATTGTGAAGAAATTTGCACAGTTAATTGAGAAGAATCATGAAAATACTTTTAAATATTGGAGTTTATAATCTAATTATGGTAATTAAAACTGTACTCCAGACAATTATTGTTTGCCAGATTGTCATGAATGGCACCAGATTATCTCTGTATGAGAAACTACAAGTGAATGGCTTCCTGAATGATAGTGATGGCAAGTTGTCAAGCCTGAAGTGTGCAGCTGGTGGGGCTACAGTGGGAGTTTTAAGTGGCTTCATTTCAAGTCCTTTGTACATGGTGGGTTTTATTTCTGTCCAATACATCAATTTGTGAAGATTTTATCAAGGCTGAGCAAAGCTTTATCTAAATTATCATCCCTAAGAATGCTTGCTTGTCTCTGTCTCTGTCTCTGATATGAAAATAACTGAAATAGTTTCCAATGTGTAAATGTGCTCAATGATTTTTTTTTATTATTCAGGCTAAAGTGCAACTACAGAGCCAAGCAGACCCAAAACTTGCTGTTGGTACACAACATCATCATCAAAGTTGGTCATTACCACGTTATATAATTTCTCAAATTTACATATTCTTAGTATGTGTTGAACTTTGAGACACACTATGTGAACAGAAATTTAATCTCTTCCTCTCTGTATAATTTTATTCATGTGACATACTTTCTACTTATTTCATATATTAGGCCATGTTGACTCAGGTTGAAAGCTCAGAATTATGTTTTCAGTGCTAGTAGCTGTTCTGTAAATTATTTTATATTCAAATTTATTTTATGTATTTAGGTAATATTGTCAAGGGGTGAATCTAGTGAGCTTATGTTAAACATGTCAAGTTTTATAATTAAGTTAGGTTTGGATTTGAAAGAGTTTTTGTCCATGTATTTAACACTGGAGAGGTATAAATTTTGCTTTAATATTGTCTACATGATTGTACAATATCCCTGTAATTCTCAGCAATTTCGAAATATTCTCTTACTTTTATTTGATATCTGGTTGATGCATATTAAAAGTTTAAGTTAAATATATGAGGGCATACAATTTTTAGAAGTACTACTATGGTTTTTCTCAATCGTGATTTTACTAATGTATGAATGATTGATGTGTTAATATTTTATATTATTATAAAATATTTTTGATCATTGTCCCAAGATGTTTTTGGAGCTTTGCGGAATGCAGTCCACAAAGGTGGCGTGCTTGGCCTTTATCGTGGAGCTTTCACATCCATTTTTCGTGTGGGGATTGGTTCTGGTGCGCAACTTCTCACCTACAGCAAGTGTCGTGATGCTCTGCACAATGCCGGAGTGAGGCTCATTTGCTGTTTAAATTTTATAGTCGTCATAATGGCTGCCGGTGATACATTGTACTTTATCCTATTTTTTATCTGTATTAAAACCATGCAAAATATAAAAAAATAGAATCCTGAACCCATTATGGTTGATAAATTATTTTTACAACTAATAATTAGCTTATAATTTTACATTATTATTTTTCAGTTGCTTTAAATTTGATTCACTAGTGTTAATTAACTATTTTTGTTGCCCCCTCAGGTGTGTCCAATGAACTCCTGGAGCAATGCACTGGCAGGAGCCATGCTGAGTGGCATGGCAGTCACGGCAAGCATGGCGCCTTTTGATGTCCTCTCCACTAGGTTGTACAACCAAGGTAAAGCCAGTCAGCGTTTTGTGGAAGTCAGTTTTTCAGTCATTGTTGCCAACTAGTTTTGTTGGCAAGAAAGTTGGCAAAAACTTTGTTTTTACCAACTTTGTTGGATGTAATATTCGGGTAATGCTGTAGTCCCCTTGCAAGGCAGTTTTTTTAGTTAATGTGGCACACTAGAGCCTGGTTTTCTGTTGTTAACAATAGAATTTTTTCTCATCTTTATAGCAAATAAATTATTGTTGGGCCAGAATCAAGTTTTAGAGCCATTTGTGTTCCGTAAGAACATTATTCATCACTATGCAACATTATTCATCACTATGCAGCATTATTCATCACTATGGACTCAAAAAGGTTGGGGATACTATGAAGAACCTTCCAGTATGCATGGTTGGTCTATAAAGTAAAATATTTCTATGATTTTTTATACAATTTCCTTTGCACTTAAATCATTTTTCAACACTACTTAAGCAAATAGAATTATTATAAATTCACTCGATTCATCAATAATTTTCTACTATGTTTCAAACTAAATTGTGAATGAACTGAGTGTAATGACTATTTTCTTGTAATTCTCCTGTTATAAACTTATGGTGAAATTAACATGTATATATTTGATATACCGGTATATACATTTTAGGATTTTTTGGAGGGGGATATTGCTTCAGCTATTATAAATATTATTACTTCATACATAGTTCTTGTCTTTAAGAAGTATTTTTCTATTTTATTTAGGAATTTTCTGGAAATTTTTCCTGAATGGAAATTTAGTTCAATATTTAAATGAAATTTAGTTAAATATTTACATTTCAGGAGTGAATGCACAAGGCAAAGGACTTCTTTACAGAAACCTGGGCGATTGCATCTTCAAGATCGTCAAGAAAGAAGGACCTTTGGCCCTATACAAGGGCTGGACGGCAGTCTACCTCAGGATTGGTCCACACAGCTTCTTATGTCTTATGTTCTGGGACATTCTTAAGAATTTACATAAAGATTACACTCGAAAAACAAAACAAGTCGCATGATGGTTTAAAGACGTTGAACTTTTTCTTACCTTTTCATCGACCTCCTTTATTGGAAGGAGATTTATCATTCAATGGCAATTCGGTGTTGGTGAAACTATTGTTAGGTTCTAGGTGGACCAAGTTTACACTGGCTTATCATACAAGCCTGACATATGGATCTTATATTTTAAATCAATTTGCTCATTGGACAAAATCTGTTCAACTCTGTGATTAACTTTTTACCATTGCAATGATAATCAACTGGAAGGTACGAGCGTCTCAATTGGCTTACATTCCATGACGTAGAGTTAATGAAGTTGGTTCGTTGACTATTCACGAGTTTTATGTGTATTATTTGTTATTTTTATGTGTAATTTAGAAATTAATCTATAATACTAGTTATTTACTTCAGGTGTGTAAAAATTTTATTCGTTATTTGTTCTGTTATCAATATGATTTAAAGACATGATGAAAATTTTTTATTTCTATCTCTAGTGTAATTTTTATTGAATCGAATTCGATACCTATTGTGTGAATATCTTATGCTTTTTAAGAATCTTTAGCTTCTATGAGATGGCTTCTATGTGATACGTTGCTTAAAAAATTCAATAGACATCGTAGTATTGGTATTTACTTTTTTAGTGGTCTAAGCACTATACCGTGTGATTGTCTTGTGGTTCGTTGCCACCAGCCAGTGTGTTCAACAGCTACTCTTAACCCGTTCTCTCATGAATTTCGTCGGATAATGAAAATTATTTTTCTATGCTATTATATTACAATATTTTTTGATGCTTCTTGGGCATAGAATAACACCACTGAACATATGTCACACATGTATACAAAGCCATTAAATTTTAATATATATCATGCGTATTGTAGACGTTACATTATTAGACAAAAGTATTGCAATGTGACTAATAATGGCCTTATTATAATAACTTCACATGTTAATGGTAGGTATATTATTGTTTGTAAAGGGAGTGTTTGGATAAAGTTCTATCTCTAAACAAAAGTTTATTTTACAGTTTGATATACCAAGTCTTGATTGATGAAATCATCATTTCCAATGCCTAATATCTATATTTCTTGAAAAATGCCCACAATATCTTAGAGCGCCATTCAACTGTACTACTGTAGGGACAGCAACACAAACTGTCACGTTTTTTTTTTTTTACTTATGGCTACAGGAGAACGGGGAGTTTTGAGTTACCATGTCAGTTGTGATTGAAGAGGACTGAGGCCGTAAGTGTGAACCTTATTGCTGCCGCTCTAATTTATACAGTGAGGCCATTGTGGGCGTCTTGAGTTTTATTATATTGTAATTATTGCGTAATAACTTTCAATTATACGAGAATACAGCAATGAAAGCACATTTTATGTGACTTGACGTACAAGGCCAGTGTTGGTTGTAAATTTTATGCGATTATGTGTGCGCAGGCTATTCTTTGTACTTGAAGTTTATTGCGCTTGAAGTTTTGGTACATATTAATATGTGATCATTGGTTTATTGATGGGTGAATTTTTAACGGCTCTGTTATTTTTCGTCATTGCAGTTGCAGAGACGTACCTAAGGATCTAATTGTGTTATCGATCGACAGTTGTGTGGTATAATTTATGTCAGAAAAGGCTTTTGTGATATGATCACACAGACGCTCAGCTTGGTAATGTTTATTTTATTCATGTTATGTGTGATCTATTCATCTTTGTATATGTATTATATATATATGTCTGTTATTGTAAGTGATGGTTATTTGCAGATGATGCATCAACCTCCAAATAAGCATATTTTGACACGCGTTTGCTAATGAAGGGAAGTATTATCTTGCTGTTAAACACAGCAAGTATATTTTTATCTGTAATTATTTTTCTTTTTGACTGTTGCATTATTGTAATATTAATGAATGCTTTACTACATTTGCAACCCGTACTGCGACGCACGGTCCTCCTTAGATGTGCGAGATTTTTTTTAATACGTTGTAATAAAACAGGTTCATTTTATTGCAAATACAGCGTGTCACGGTCCTAGTATGAAAAGTTTGAGTACTAAAAACTTTTTAAATGGTTTTGAATTCTGTACGGCGTATAGAAAATGGCAAATGGTCATAATGTGAATGATTTTGGGCTGACAATTAGCTGAAAGTCCTAAAGTGACAATATATCTCGAGTATTATACAATTTTTGTGGGCCAGTAGTTGCTTATAATAAACTTGCTAATTAAAAGAGACAAGAAGTACAAACCTTTTCTCTGTTGCTTTTAGTAATATTGTCTAGTAAACTTGCAAAGCTCTCCAATTTATTATCCGCGAGCGCGACCAATCTATTCTCAGTTTCTCTTTTCAATGCTACACTACTATTGCTCTTGATGATCGATTCGTAAATATGTTCATTATATAAGCGGCATTAGATACTTCTAATTTCTCCTTTCTTTAAATTATTCTACAAAATGATCTGTAATTTTCGAGCCAGTCAGAAATGTATCTTGCGCATATCAAGTTTGAAAAGCTTACCTGATTTTGCCAATAATCTCACTTTCTTAATTTATGCTTTTAACCTATCCTTGCTCGCTTACAGGCATAGTATTGCGAGCATTCGTTGACATTTCCTCGTATAATTGTTAGATTAAGCGAAATGCCTACATTTTCGTGCACCTAAGATACGTAAACCGGGGCAGTGCAAACCGTCATGGTCTCGAGGAAACGTATGCTGCAGCGTTCACAATTTAACCGGAATTACCATTGGTGCAAGCAAATCACTTCCAACTAGTGTTTCGATTACCGCAGGTCTTCGTTCAACAAAGGATTAGAAAATATAACTCAGTACTAACTGCAGTGAGTGACAGCTAGTGCATTTTCTCGTCGACGAAATCGTGAAGTCACGGACGGACGGACATTACAAGCACAATAGGGCATTTTTCCATAAATAAGAAAATGCGCTGAAAATTATTTCCAAACTTGCACTTTACCATCCCATCACTCGGTACTAAAATAATGTATTTCCTCACGAAACGAACAATTTTTTAGTAGTAAATACTAAACATCATTTCGAAAGATAGCTAAAAGCAATACGTTTTTTCACTAAATGAGATCATTTATTCAAACAAAAATACACATATATAGCAAAATACTAAAATATGATGAGTTGCAGGAATGGTTGCTGGTGAAAGTCCTTTTACAATACTTCTCTTTAACTTCAATTTTTGTTGTTTGTTTTTCTGTCGTCTGCTACAATTCTTATAGTCGATATTTGACACACAGGACAGGTCGACAAATTTTGCACACTTGCGTAAAGTTGGAGACAATGCATGAATCAATTGACAGAATAAATAATTTTATAAATTAGAAAAAAAAATTTTTCATTATTAAAAAAAATTGAAAACAATATGCGTTTAAAAATTACTTCTGAAGAATCCGGTGTCTTGGATGTTACACATGTACAATGAATCAAAAAAAAATATTTTTCTAAATTTTTTTTATGATCATATATGGATTATAAGATTTATAGCAGAAGAAATTATTTCTAAATTTTTTAATAATAAAAAAATTTAATTTAATGTATAAAATTATTTATTCTGTCAATTGATTCATGCATTGTCTCCAACTTTCTGCAAGTGTGCCAAATTTCAGATCGATTGGACAGGTAGAAGTGTGTTAAATATCGATTATAAGATTTGTAGCAGAGAGACAGACAGCCAGACAAACAAACAACAAGAAGTGAAGTTAAAGAGAAGAGTTGTAAAAAAAACAGTCACCTTTTCAGAAATAAAAACAATTTTCAGATTTTTTCAGACCCGTGTAATCAAAGTTAAACTTGTAAGAAAAGCAGACTGGGTTACCAGTTTTTCCCAGTGCATTTTTGCGGTCGTTCCTGAGTGACGGATAAATGATCGTTATACGTGTACGTTTGTATGTGGCGAATAGTTGATTGATTGGCGAATAGTTGACGAATATAGTTGAATCGATTGCGGCGAATAATTGATCGTTTGCAGGAGGCGAATATTCGATCGTATATATATGGCGAATAACTAATCATGTGGACGTGGCGAATAAGTGATCACTCGCACGTGGCGAATAATTGATCGTATGTGTATGGCGAATAATTAATCGTGTGCACTTGGCGAATATGTGATCGCTCGCAGGTGGCGAATAAGTGATCACTCGCACGTGGCGAATGATTGATCGCATGTGTATGGCGAATAATTAATCGTGCGCATGTGGCGAATAAGTGATCGGTTGCATATGGCGAACAAGTGATTGGTTGCATGTGGCGAACAAGTGATCGTTTTCTTGTGACGAAAAATGACCTGTATGACTGATATAGCCTGCATGTGACTGATCGTTTGCATCTGGTGAATGCCGTATGTATGTCGTGTATGTGAGGCTCCGCTAATTTTGTTTATAGAGACCCAATCTACATGCGGTGGACGACGTCTGAGTTGCCCGAATCCTTTGGTGCGGAATTAAGATTCGAAGTCGCCATCAAAATGAGGGCACCATCACATGAGGACAAAAAGTGTTCTTTTCTTTACATGAATTTAGAACACATTTATCAGTATAGCACATCCAATCATTTTAATCAACGTGGAAACTATTTAGCCCTCTTTTCGATCAATATTTAGGTAATGCATTTAGATGAAAATTTATTCTATGTTTTATCTATCCGAAAATCAGTCTACGGCCTTCTACAAAAAAAAAATCCGAGCTGAGAATTAGACTTTCCTCAGTCGGACTCACAGAGCATTAATTATTGTTAGAAGAAATGCAGTAATGAAGGTTTGGTCAATTCATTTCTACTCGTTCGATGTTTTATGAAAATTTGTGACTAATTCTGCATATACAAAACACATAACGGTATATTTTTGTTGCAGAAACTGGCGATCATTTTCTGGACTAATAACAACAGGTTGGCCTCAAATGGCAATTTTTTTCAATTGAAAAGATGTGATTAAGGCGACGTAAAAACATTAGAAAAAATTCAATTTTCACCAGAAAAATACGTCAATTGAGCTTATGTTGATTGATTCACATCTGCAAATGGACACGATCGCGTTCAATGCCAGAATATCTCTTTAACTTCACTTCTTGTTTGTCTGTCTGTCTGCTACAAATCTTATAATCGAAATTTAACACACTTCTACTTATCCTATCGCTCTGAAATTTTGCACACTTGCGTAAAGTTGGAGACAATGCATGAATCAAATGCTAAAATAAATGATCTAATTTTTTTATTCAATTTAAAAAAAAATAGAAAAAATAATTTTGTCAGCTACAAATCTTATAACTGACATTTGACACACTTTTACCTGTCCAATTGATCTGAAATTTTGCACACTTGTGTGAAGTCGGAGGGAATGAATGAATCAATTGATAGAATAAATAATTTTGAAACAAAATTTTATATATTAAAAAAATTGAAAATTAATTTTTTTAATATTCGAAAATAAAATGAGAAATTCAGTGTGCATCTGTAACATTGGAGACACTGGATTCTTTAGAAGTGTTGTCTTTAAAAAGTAATTTTTAAACGTATATTATTTCATATCACCCTGGATTATTGTTCCCAGCAGGGCCTCTAAACGATCAAGCGGTTTGAGTTAAACGATTGACGCGCGTTTCAATCATCCTCAATCCGGCCTTCAATCTTTTGATCAAAAGCTCTCATCAGAAATGGGAACAGTGCACACTGTTCGTTAACTAGCGTAGTTTTTGGAGCTGCTGTATTAATTCTGGAGTTTAGCTTCGGTTTCGAATACTTTTGCGTCAAATGGGTTCTTACAGAGTCAATCACGCTCGAGTCGATCGATTGACTTGAGCTTTTTATGAAGCCGCTTGA